CAGCGGAGCCTCCAGCAGGCCGCTCCCAGCAGGGATCCTGGGGCTTCCCCAGGCGGCTCCAAGGCCACGAGGCCCTGGCTGCGCTTCTCCCAGGGGGTGGGGCACCCGGGCGCAGGGCCAATCAGGAGCCCTGCAGGAGGTAAGTCCGCCTGAGAGAGAGAAGGGAAACGAAAGTGCCTGTCTCTCTCTCTGCAAATGGCGGAGGAGGCCATGCGGAGACGGATGTGGAGCGGTGTCTCGGTTCCTAAGACCATCAGAAATATGTGTTTTCCGATGGTCTTAGGCGACCCCTGTGAAAGGGTCGTTCGACCCCCAAAAGGGTCGCGACCCACAGGTTGAGAACCGCTGCTCTAAGTCATTAGTCCAGCCCCAGGGAAGCAGGATATGATTTTGGGGACATAATAGGACTAACCCATTACCATCAAGTATACCAGAGAGGCACACCTAGGCTCAGGTCAGAATACGCGACACAGGAAATAGCCTCAAAGTTCATGCCACAGGAACAGGAAACTTCCAAACAAAAGGCTAGAGAGGGTATAAAAACCTACTGCCCATGTGCTCAGCCCTTCTCTCCTCTGCTCTTTCCTGCAAGAACCATCTTTCTGCTTCTTCAATAAACTGTAACCATCTTCCCAAAGCAGTCGCCATGTTGCTTATTTATTCCCGGCTTGGATGAACCAGGATGAAGACTTACTTCTGACACTTTTATTATTTTTGCAAATAGCTCAAGGTGGCAAATATATCCAACACAAGTTCCTCCTCCCATTTTCCCAACAACCCTGTGAGGTGGGTTGGGGAGAGAAAAAGTGACCCGCTCAAAGTCACCCAGCTGGCCTTCATGCCTAAGGTAGAATTTGAACTCAGCAGCTCCTGCTTTCTAGCCTGATGCCTTAATTACTAGACCAACTATGATGATGGAGTCAAGACCTGAAAAATCGTCCTGAGCTCCAACCACTACTTCTGCTTCTGCCACTCGGCATCCTCCAGCCATACGGGACGCTACACCACCCATAATTCTCAGCCGGCAAGGATGGGATTGCGGACTAGCTTGCAGGGGCAAAAGATTCTGGAGGTATTGCATTCTGCAAAGGAGCCATCAATCTCGGCTAAGCACGCTTCAGTTCCCTCCCTCCCTTTGCCCCAAGGACCACCCGGAGTCTGAGCCGCACCTGAGATCAGGGCTTCCCTGGAAAAGCGTGGAGACAAAATCCCGCATCTTTTGCGGCTGCCCAGTAGCGCCTCCTGCCATCCTTTCCCGCCAAATGGCACCTCCGAGCCAACGTAGCCCTTCCCTCTGCAACGTCTCATAGCAATTGTAGTCCCAACCATGCGTAAAGAGGCGTAGCCAGCAAAGGCAACAAACGGAACGCGCATGACCGAGCTCTTTACCCCACGGCCTCATGGGAAATCATCTATGAGCCAATGACTTCTTGGGAAGTGTAGTTTTTCCTCTGGGAAACGCTGCAGAGTCCTCCTGCTTGCTGAGTCTTTCTGAAGCTCGCCCCCTTGCGCAATCGTTTCTGCAAATAAAAATTGAAGTTAAAGAAAAGAAAGAGGTGATTGGCTGAGCTTTCATTTATTTCCGTGGTTTATTACTTGATAAACCACAATAGAATCTGTAATCCAAGTAGAATGAGCTGGATTTTACCCCAAACGTCATTGTAGCAATCAAGTGCTTCATTAATTTCCTATCTGGAGAATGGATTCCAAAGGAAAATGAAAAATGTCTGTTTTTCTTGACCTCTCAGCGGCCTATGATAGTGTCTGGAGAGAAGGACTTCTCCTCAAACTAATCAGTTATACCTTGTAACACTGTTACCTTGATTGACAACATGCTATCATGTTAAATAACAGGTTATTTCAAGTTTTTACAGAATACAATAGATGCAGATAAGTTGAATAATGAACTACCACAAGAATCAATGCTATCCCGCTCTTTTTAACTTGTACATCCATGACCTGCCTGAAACTGTTTCTCCGAAATTTATTTATGCCAATGATATCAATCTCACAGTCCCAAAAAAACAACTTCAGTGATGCAGAGGAATCCTCTCTCAAGATTTTCAGAAGCTGGATGAGTACTTCAAAAAATGGTGCCTCCAAATGGTTGATGTCCAACTCTTCCAGACAATGCATATAATCTCTGGCATGTTACATCCCACTTTTATGCATTGGTTACCAGTACTCAGCAACATCATACCACTCCACATTGAAGACAACAAGTTCCCATTCGGCTATGGTCAAGGATGCTGAAAAATAAGGCCCTCTCTATTCACCAGAACAATGCACAGCCCATCATAAGATTGATATCCCAAAGGCCAGCTTGGAAAACAGCTATTCAGTTAACATTTACCCAGTTTAACTCTGAGAATGCCTATAGAGAGGAATGTTCCAAGATACCTTCTTGTGGCCTGACCGTTAGTGATCCCTCTACCAAACCACCTAGTTTTGACCTCGTTTGTCTGGTCGAAATTGGACAGAATTAGATGTGACACTGGAAGAAGTGCCTCTGCCCTGTATCAGTGGGGATGGAAAGATTCCCTTTGTTGCAATCATGGTGCTGATATCCCAACTATTAAATATATTGTGCAAGATTGCCTACCACGTATGTTCTCTGATTCCCTAGAAGAACTGCATGAAGCAATGCCAGAGGCGATTGCCTGGATAGTTGAATTGGATATCCAGTTATGAGGCCACTGCCATAACCCCATAGAAGTTTTCTTTTAATAACAAGGGCTGTATATATGTTTACTTCTGTCATGTTATCATACAGTAAATAATAATAAATTACTGAATAGTTTCTACCTGATTTGTTAGCATTGTGAGGTTTTTTTTTTAAATAATGTGATTTATTACTGCATTATTGTGTTTTTTTATTTCATGGTGCCTGCCTAGTTTGATTCGGCTGACCTGCAAAAATGTAAAACAAATGATCACACAGCAAACAAAGTGGACGTCAATTCCTTTTGAGTTGGGACCAATAGCATAACTTTTGGGGCTAATCTACCCAACCTGGGGGCAAAAGTGAACTTGATGGGGGATCTGTTCTGTAGTTTTCTTCTAGCCTGGCTTTGTATTACCTTGACTGTATCTCCAAATTTCCATTCGTAGGAATGCATGGTTGGCCAATAACATTTCTAAACGTGCCCAAAGATTACAGTAAATCACTGAAAGCAATAAGGGAAGCAAAGAGATGGGGCAAAATAGTGCAGAAAATGCGTTCATCCATAACCAAAGCGAGACAGGAAAGAGATTTTACCAGGCTAAACTCAGTTCTACTGCTGTTTCTTAACAAACGTGGGTAGGATAGAAAATAAAGTAAGAACGCTGAACATTAAGAAAAGCTTCACCACGACCCGTTAGTTCTTTTCCTCACAATGCATATTGGGAGATGTAGTTCCGAGCTCTCCACGTGCCCGCTTTCCGAAGCATGCCGGGAAATGTAGTTTTTCCACTCCAGCTTTGTATCGCGGTTCCTGTCCCACGTTACTTCCCCAGCCGGGCATGAACGGAGCAGGAGAGCCCGATCCGGGCGGTGGGGGCTACAAGAGGCGTTATAGAGCCTTGAAGAGGAGGCTCAAATTCCTGATTTATGTAAGCGGCAGGGAATTTCGGGGGAGGAGGGGGAATTGGTGCAGGCAGAAAGAAAGGGGGTGGGTTGGAGGAGCAAATAATTTAAGAAGACCTTGGCATGGTGGGGGCGAGACTAATAAGGGGAGTTTTACAAGAAAGAATAAATGATAAAAATCATAGTGACCGCATGCCTCCAAAACATTTAAAGAGATCCTGTCATTTGAGGCGGGAAGGCAGTACGTGTGGATGTTGAATAAATTTAGGTGTGATTACAGGTAAGATGAGGGTGATCAGAGAGACAAGACCTTCTAGGACGGTGGATGTTATAAAAAGATTATTATTTCGCCCATGTGGTCCATAAGAAGGCAGTGGTGCATGACATGTTTAATGGTGAATATAGGGTTTGGCGTTTCTCAACCATGGCAACTTAAGGATATGTGAACTTCAATTCCCAGAATTCCCCAGGTTGAGAAGCACTGCTCCAGAAGCTCAGGTTCTAACTGACCTAAGTTGTTTTGTTGGGAGCAGCTCAGAAATAATTTGCCCTTGCCTTATTCTGGGATGTGTTTTGGAGTTATCTCTCTCCATACAGCCTTAGTGGTCACCCATTCAGCAATTAGTCAGATCCAACTAACTTTAGTTTTTACAGGCCAGCGTGTAATATACACATCTACATTTTGTGACTACTTTGCTGATCATCCTGGTAAACTAGTACTGTTTGTTCAGGTGTCACTTGTTAGGTGAACCCAGCAATTGTGTTATAGTCACACCTTAAAAGTTGCTAAAGTTGAGAAACACTGAACTAACAGGTTACAGAATTTGAGGAGAGGGTTAGTCCCACAGGATGCCCATTTGGGTCATAGACCCTGCTTTCCAAACCACTATGATTGGGTTCACATAATATGCTAAGGCAAAATTAAGCCAACAACTTAGTGCAATTAGCAGTAGTATAAAAGGGATGATAATACTAATCTGTCTTGCAGGTTGCTGGGATTAGCTGCCCCCCAAGGCCCCCCCAATTTGGGGAGAATTTATCTCCATTTAATTCAGTTAATATTATTACATTAAAGAGCTATTTTCTTAAAACAGAATTCTGCCTATAGGGGAATAATTCACAAAACAATACTGTAAAAAGCTAACATGAATAATTATATTGATGTAGATAGTCCTCAATTTATGAGTGGTTGCTTAGTGACTGAAGTTATGACAGGTGTTCCCAGAGCTACTTATACACTGATTGTAGTTTGTTGGGGGTTGTCACATGAGAGCATGTCGGGCAGTTGGCCCACATTTATGACCATTTGCAGCATCTGTGGTTATATGACCATGTTTTTTTATATTTTTGCCCAGACCGCCATTTACTTCCAGTTTTTGGCAAAAAATGGCCTATAACAAACAATGGATTTGCTTAACACTTGCTGCAAAAAAGGTCACAAAAACAAGCTGGTCACATGGATGACCCACATTATGACTCACAACCATAATGGGCAGGCTCCATTATGGTCGTAAGTTGAGGACTACCTGTAATGAACAAGGGAGCCAATACAGCAATACAAAATCTAACCAAGAACTGAAACTTAAACAAGTAGCCTCAAAGGTGCTTTTTTCACCAGAAGGCAACTGGACTATTTTTTCTTTGAGGAGGAGGAAGAAGAAAATGTTTCACTTCCCATCCAAGAAGTTTCATCAGTTCTGATGGTGTGTGTGTGTGGGGGGAGCAATTTGCTGCTATGTGGTGGCTCAGAAAAGCTGCAATTTTTGCTGTGCCTATTTGCATGATTTTTATGGAGGGGGAGGATCAACCCCCAAAGAGGTAAAATGAACCAGGGGTGGCCACTGTCTGGGGTGACACCTGGCACTCGCTTAATCTTTTCAGATCCCAGATGTATGTGGAAAAGTGAAATAAAAGATATTGAAATGCTGGTTGTATGTTAAACATTTATTGATCCCCATTACTTGATATGAGGGAATGATGAATTTTCTCCTACAAGGTACCATCTATTTTGTGACCCAGTGAGTTGCTACTTTTTGCAGTTAAGGCAGCAAGGTTGAAAGGAATACAGGTAGTCCTTGACTCAACAATCACAACTGGGCCCAAAATTTCTGTTGCTAAGCAAGACAGTTGTTAAATGTGCTTTGCCTCATTTTAGGTCCTTGCTTGGCACAGTTGTTGAGTGAATCCTATGCAGCTGTTATGTAAGTAACAAGGTTGTTAAGTGAATCTGGCTTCCCCATTGACTCGGCTTGTCAGAACGTCACAAAAGGGGATCACGTGACCCTGGGACACTGCGACCGTCGTGAATATGAGCCAGTTGCCATGTATCTGAATTTTGATCACGTGACCAGGGGGTTGCTGCAACAGTTGTAAATGTGAAAAACAGTCATCAGTCTGTTTTTTCACTTTTTTGAATGATCATTAAACATATGGTTGTAAGTTGAGAACTATCTGTAGTAGATTCTGCCTGACATTAATTATGTTATGCTTCTATTTATTAGAAGTCTGACAAGATGTGTTAAAGGTCCTACTCTATTTTCTTAAACATTTTAAAGTGTTATGTTACAAAGATTCAGATATTTTAATGGCATTTTTTAGATCAGGGGTCTTCAAACTTGGCCCTTTTATGACTTGTGGACTTCAACTCTCAGAATTCCTCAGCCAGCGTGCCTGGCTGAGGAATTCTGGGAGTTGAAGTCCACAAGTCATAAAAGGGCCAAGTTTGAAGACCCCTGGTTTAGAAATTAGATTTAAATTTTAAGCCTGTAATGGGATCAGATTTTAATAATGTCTCATTTTAAAATACGTACATATTGTTATTCCTCTTAGGATACGTAAAATGGTCTGGATATTTATTTAATAAACTACAGTATTTCCTTGCTCACACTTAGCCTTTTTAAATCAATTCTCAGGAACAGGAATGTTTCCAAGAAGAGCTGAGAAAAGCACAAAGAAAACTCTTGAAAGTTTCACGGGATAAAAGGTAAGCTGATCTGATAAGGAAGGATAGAAGGTGTGTGAAATGAGGCAAACCAAATTGCCAAGAGATCAATCAGAATCAGAATGTGGAGATGGAAAGACAGAATTAACACTCTTTCCCACTTACATCTGAAGTCTTTGATGGCTGGGTGGCAGCTTAATAATTTGAGTCAGAGGTAGAAGTAGTTGGTGCAGTACAGGGGTGTCCAACCTTGGCCACTTCAAGACCCATGGATTTCAACTCCCAGAATTCCCCAGCCAGCAACAGGTCTTAAAGTTGCCAAGATTGGACACCCTTGGTGCAGTGGTGGGATTCAGCCGGTTCGCACCACTTCGGCAGAACCGGTAGCTAATTTTTTGTTGCCCAGACCCAGAATGGACTTCCGGAAGTGGCATCCACACAGAACCGGTTGTTCACATATTTAAATCCCACCACTGCCTTGGTGTAGTAGTTAAAGCCACTAGACTAGAAACTGGAAGGCTAGGAGTTCTAGTCCTGCTTTAGGACACAAAGTCAGCTGGGTGACCTTGGACCAGTCACTCAAGTGGCAGTGGCAAACCATGTCTGAAAGATGCTGCCAAAAACCCCCTGCATGGAATGGTCCAGGTAGCTACTGGGAGTCAAAACAGGCTTAAACACACAAAATGAAGCAACAAAATCCCAGTTGAAGTGACAATGTGTCTTTGAGATATATGCAGCTACCTAGTCTGGGCTTGGAAACCAAGTAAGATCAAACCTGTTAATATTTGCAATGGAGACTGTACGGTCTTAGTAGCAAGCAAAGGGCCTGCAGCCAGATTGGTCCATTACAGCAGGCGTCCCCAACCCCTGGTCTGTGGACTAGTACTGGGCCGCAGTATGCCAGCAACCGGTATGCACAAATAAGGAAAGCCCCATCCACAGAATGCAGGCAGCACACAAAACCATGCCCCTTCTGACCCATGGAAAAAGCTCTCTCCATGTAACCGGTCCCTGGTGCCCAAAAGGGTCATAAGTCACATTTTTCAGTGCCGTTATAACTTCGAATGGTCATTAAATGAACTGTTGTAAGTCGAGGACTACCTGTATGCACAGAGGTCTTTTTCTTCCCAAGAAATAATTGCAGCTCAATTCTGGATTCCTGTCCTGGAATAGAGGATGGCCCAGGATAATGGCAGATCTTTGGAGCCAGCTTAAGGCCTCGGTTTCTTCCTAACAATTAAGCATCAGATTGGGTCATTGCTTTTTCCTACCTGTTTCCTCCTTCTAGTTTCCTGCTTGATCGCCTGCTCCAGTATGAGAACGTGGATGAAGATTCCTCAGGTAAAGTGAGGCTCACAACCTCCGTTTGATGGCTCTGGGAGAAAGGGGGGGATTTCCCCCCACTTTCTTTATATAGGGGCTTAATAATATTAATCTGGCTGTTGTGGATATAACTTCACCTATTCAGGTAGGAAGAGAATAAAACAATGACATGGCAGGATAAAATATTTCACATCAAATAAATAAATCTTAACTGAATCTGACATTCTTACAATCAGTTGTTGCTGTCCTTTAAACATAAATGTGGTCCATATTTCACAGAAAGTACCAAGGCACATTTTACCTGCTAATAGATATTATGGAATCAAACCAGGGCAATCCACAGGGGTAGATTTTCCGATTCTGGCCTAAGATGGTATTGGTTAATAGTTAAATAATGTAGAAAATATCCTTGAATACCAGTTAGTCCTCAACGACCACAATTGCGCCCAAAATTTCTGTTGCTAAGCGAGACAATTGTTAAGTGAGTGTTGCCCTATTTTATGACTTTCTTGACATAGTTGTTAAGTGAATCTGGCTTCCTCATTGACTTCGCTTGTCAGAAGGAAGCAAAAGGTGATCGCGTGACCCCAGGACACTGCAACTATTATAAATATGACTCAGTTGCCAAATGTCTCAATTTTGATCACGTGATCATGGGGATGCTACAGTGGTCGTAAGTGTGAAAAATGGTCATGTCACTTTTTTCAGTGTTGTAACTTTGAACAGTCACTAAATGAACTGTTGTGAGTTGCGGTCTGCCTGCACAGCTATTATGTCTGCTTGGCATTTAAAAATTGCCTCAAGGTGTACTAGACTCGTTGGCTCAACAAACAGTTCTGTTTTTAAAAATAGTGCAAGTGTATATAGGTAGTCCTCGCTTAACAACACCAACTGTGTTCAGAAACTCAGTCGTTAAGTGACATAGTCCTAAATCAAAAAACCCCATGACTGTGCTGCTTAGTGATGGCAGTTTTAGCAGTCCTGGTTGCTGTCATTATGTGAAGACTATACAGGTTGTTAAACGAGGACCTCATGTGAAGAGACCTCACCTCCTGCTGGCTTCTGCATTGACTTTGATTGTGAGAAGCTGGCAGAGAAGGCTGCAAATCATGCTCATGTGACTGGGGATGCTGCAATATTGTAGTTGTGAATGCAGCGGTTGTAAATACAAGGACCAGTCATAAGTATTGTATGTCGTGTGGTTGTATGTTTTGAATGGTTGCTGAACAAGTGGTCATTAAATGAGGACCACCTGTGTAAGCAAGCATACAAATAGTTATCCATGGTTGTGGTTTAATCCTGAGCTTTCTCTAACCTGATCCCTTCCCTAAAGTATGGACTACAACAGTGTTTCTCAACATTCAATTCTGGGAGTTGAAGTCCACTCCTCTTAAAGTTGTTAAGGCTGAGAAACCCTGGACTACAACTTCCAAAATTACTAGCCCTATTAACTAGGAAAAATAAATTCTAGCGTAGGAGAGTACATGGAAGCTGCTATCTCTCTTCATGGAGAAGGAAATTTATTTATGTACAGATACACAAACCACTCTGTTGTTAATCTTTCTTGCTTGTTTTCCCCTCCTTTGAGCTAGTGTGAGTGGTCCCTCTTTTCCAGTTCTTCTGCACAGAGCGTCTTTTTATATTGGTCCTTGTAAAAATTAAAATTTAATGGCTATATTCCTTGAGGATCCAGCTGCTGATTACTTGTTAATATTTGATTCCTCCAGGAAATGTTATTCTTAAGCACTTTTATTTCTCTATTATATTTTATATTTGGCTGACATTGGCTTTTTATTTTAATATCCAATCGCCGGGGGAGTTTTTAGCTGCCCAGTGAAGCCTCCCTATTATACTAATTTATCTACTTTTTTTTTTTGCTGCTCAGTCCCATTGGTGATTTTGACTAGATTGGATAAATGACCCATGACATTCTTTATTTGAAAGCTGTCTCTGTAAAGATGAATGGTTAGAAATTGAATGTTGAAGTTGTTTTGGAGAAGTCTTCATTTTGTTGCAAATGGGTCTGTTGTGGTATCTCTGATAACCTCAGTTAGCAAGCTGCTGGCAAAAAGTGAGATATAAATAAATTGGATGAGTGACTTGTTCCAAAACACAGTTTGACTGTTCAGAATTATGCAGATTGGAAGTGTAAATAAATGCAGATTTTGGTACCTGAGAATTCAGGCAGTATCACGGTTTACCTTAGGGAGGTGTATAGTTCAGTAAATATGGTTGATAAGTGTTTGCTTCACGTGAAATGTTAATACCACTTTACAATGCCTTGGTAAGGCCACACTTGGAATACTGCATCCAGTTTTGGTTACTACAATGTAAAAAAGATGTTGAGACTCTAGAAAGAGTGCAGAGAGGAGCAACAAAGATGATTAGGGGGCTGAAGGATAAAACATATGAAGAATGGTTGCTGGAATTGGGTATGTTTAATACAATAAAGAGAAGGATTAGGGGTGATAGGATAGCAGTGTTCCAATATCTCAGGGGTTGCCACAAAGAAGAGGGAGTCAAGCTCTTCTCCAAAGCACTTGAGGGCAGGGCAAGAAGCAACTGATGGAAACTAATCAAGGAGAGAAGCAACCTAGAACTAAGAAGAAATTTCCTGACGGTTAAAACAATTAATCAGTGGAACAACCTGCCTCCAGAAGTTGTGAATGCTCCAACACTGGAAGTTTTAAAGAAAAGATTGGACAATAATTTGTCTGAAATGGTATAGGGTTTCCTGCCTGAGCAGGGGGTTGGACTAGAAGACCTCCAAGGTCCCTTCCAACTCTGTTATTCTGTTATTCTGGATAGTTTGCAGAGCCAAGCTAAGAAAAGATGGATTTCTATGCAAAGGAAGCTATATTTAGTGTCTGAAAAGGGAGTCAATGCAGTACAGTTAGTCCTCGACTTACAACCATTCATTTAGTGACCGTTCAAAGTTACAACAGCACTGAAAAACGTGACTTACAATTAGTCCTTGCTCTTAAAACTGACACAGCATTCCCCGTGGCCACCTGATCATAATTTGCTTGGCATCTGGCATGTATTTGCAATAGTTGTAGTGTCCTGAGGTCGTGTGATCACCATTTACGACCTTCCCAGCCGGCATCCAGCAAGCAAAGTCAATAAGGAAAGCCGGATTTGCTTAAAAACCACCTGATCCATTTAACAACAGCAGTGATTCTCTTAACAACTGTGGCAAAAGTCATAAAATTGGGTACAACTCATTGAACAACTGCTTTGCTTAAGAGTGGTAATTCTGGCATCATTTGTGGGTCGTAAGTCAAGGACTACCTGTATTTTGATCTTGAATCCAGAAAATTTGAGGGATTCTCTCTCAGTCATGAAAATCGCTGGGGAGCCTAACCTGGATCAGATCACCTAACCAACCTCACCGGGAAACAATGCAAATGCACACGGCACCCTTATATGAGCTCTATAATCTCTGGCAGAAGTGGGTGGAGTGACTTTTTCTGATTTTATTTTTCCGGAATCAGATTCGGAAGCAACAGCCTCCTCAGATAACAGTGATGGAGAGATGCAGAAAGGGACGGAGCCTCAATCCCTCAAAAGGTGAGTATGTGATAGGCTTCAGGATAGAGATAAATGACTATTTGAGGCTTAAAGGGGCTGTTCTCTTCAGCAGAGAAAAGAGGTAGAATTTTTAGACATTTTCAACACACGTCCAGAGTGACTTTCTTTATGCAGTGTTGTGGTGGTGGGGTGAAGTAGATGGTCTTGTGAGATTCAGACTAGGCCTACAGGCTAGAGCTGGCTGGGGAATCCTGGGAGTTGAAGTCCACCCATCTTCAAGTTGCCAAAATTGAGAAAAACTGGGCTAGAAACGATAAGATAGGTAGGATTGTCACTTTTCTGTGTACACTTCATTGTCACTTTTCTGTGTACACAGTGGCACACATTAAAATGAAATTCCATACATACATACATACACATACACACACACACAGTATACATATGTATATGTGTGTATGTATGTGTGTGTGTACACACACACGCGCGCACACACACACATACATACACACAAATGCAGTGCTTTTTTTCTAAAAAAAAAAAAAAAAAAAGGTGCCGGAACACACACATGTCATACAACCCGCCTTGCCTACCCTACAAGGTTCCATTCAAAAAAGGTGCCGGAACTCCGTTCTGGGCGTTCTATGAGAAAAAAAGCAGTCCATTTTGAATACATAGCGGAAAAAAGAACCGGTCATGGAGAGGATGTGTAGCATCCCTGACAATACTGCAGACCCTGGTCAAGCAGTGCTTATACGCCATATCCTGGATAGAAGGAACTGAAGTACCAATAGTCTTTTCTGCCGTCCTCACCACTCTCTGCACTGCCTTCCTGTCTGAAGCAGTAATACTTCCAAACCACACAGTAATGCAATATGACAGGATGCTTTTATTTGCCCCTTTATAGAGAGTGGTAAGGAAAGGGGAAGGAAGATGTGTTCTTCTCATATGACGCAGAAAATGCAGGCGCTGCTGTGCCCGCTTCACCAGTGTCTCATAGTTGAGTGGCCAAGCTAACCTATTCGTTTGCTGCACACCCAGAAACGTGATACTACCAACCACCTCCACAGCTGAATCATTAATACACAGGTGTATGGCTGTGCCTGCCTTTTTTGAAGATGTTTCTCGTAGTAGGTGCATGGCTTTGCACAGTCATGAGTTGATCTCTTTTGCAAGTCAAGGGGCCTTTTTTGCCCACTGTCTTATTGAAAAAATACCTTTTAGCGCAGGGGTGTCAAACTGCCGGCCTGCGGGCTGGATGCATCATAGCAAAACCGCGCCCACCCCATTGCCAGCAATGGAAAAAAAGTCGCAATACATCGTGACACGTCACGTGACATTGCGAGTTTGACACCCCTGTTTTAGCACAATGGGTGGTTCCCATGTATACAAGACAGGCTGATTCTATGGAGCACATTTTTGGCAGCTGTTCATCCATGACATCTCTTTCTGCTCACAGAAAACAAAGCCCCCAGCTTGGCAGTGCCTCATCACCATCCTCCTCAGGTCTTTCTCTGCAGCCAACATCTGGTTTTGGGCTTCCAGCTTCAGGGACATCATCGCCCTACTTAGCCTCAGTGAGTAATTCTGTGTCCATCTGGGTAATAAGGCTGAGTAGATAGTTGTCCAAAGTGGACCCTGAAGCTGGGAAAAGACTTAACAGAGATTGATGGTTCCCCAGCCTGATGTCCTTCAAGTGTGTTGGATCAGATCTCTTCTCGCCTTGACTCTGCTAGTTTGAAATGTTGAAAGTTGTAATCTATTATAGATACTCCTCAACTTACAACCAAAATTGAGCCCCATTGCTAAGCACTACAAAATTTATGTTGCTAAGCGAGACAGTTGTTAAGCGGGTTTTGCCCCATTTTATGACCTTTCTTGCCACAGTTGTTCAGTGAATCACTGCAGTTGTTAAGTCAGTAACACGGTTGTTAAGTGAATCTGGCTTCCCTGTTGCTTTTGCTTGTCAGAAGGTCAGAAAAGGTGATCATATAACCCCGTCATAAATATGAACCAGTTGTCAAGCATCTAAATGTAAATCACGTGACCGTGGGGATGCTGCAACAGTCATAAGTGTGAAAAACAGGCATGTTACTTTTTTCAGTGCTGTTGTAACTTTGAATGGTCATTAAACGAAAGATGATAAGTCAAGGACTGCCTGTACAAGAAACCAAGTCAGACAGCAAAGAGAATTCTCAGCCCTTATTGTTTTCCTCAGTTTTCCTAGACTAAGGTACCACATTTGAAATAAAGGGAGTTTTTTGTAAGTGCAATGCTCAGCATGGTTGTGTTGGAGTGGGACTGCTGACTGTTGCTAAATACCCCAAACCCCAACACTACAAGCCTAATAGTTCTGTTCCATAATATACGCCCCCAAAGGGCACCTTAATATCAAGAAAAGATTTACTGAATGCTTGAGTTTGCCCAGTGTGCTTCCTTCCCTTAGTTATTTCATTAACTCATGTTTTGATTTGCACAAATCATTGAAATGGAAAAAACCCAAAGTGGGTTGAGCATACATAGCACTCTAAGCCAGAAGCCCACTTCCCACAACCATGATTAGCATGTTTTACAACTGTAGGCGCTGGGACTCTACTAGTTCTACTTGTCCTGCTAACCCAGGGGTAGGCAACCTTGGCTCTTTTATGACTCATGGACTTCAACTCCCAGAATTCCTGAGCCAGCCATGCTGAGGGGAAAGGGAGAGGTTTCCAAGCTGAGCCATGCTGGCTCAGGAATTGGGTTAGCCTGTGCTAACCCAACTGATATTAGTATCACAAGGCTTTGGCTTCATCCCATGTTTTCCTCCTTAGCTTGGTTTCCATGTCACTTCCATTTCACCTCATTATTTCCAAGTGCTTAGTGCTGAATATAGGCATAAAAATTAGGCCTCCATTTATCTTAAGTCAATGGTAATTGGATGCCTGGAAGAACACAGCACATGATTCTAATACATTTGGATATAAACTGCTTTTTTTTTTTTAAAAAAGCATGCCTAAATGAAGAGCTGTAAGTTGTTTCTGCATCCCTGGTTCCCTTCCCAAGCATTGGAAAGATTTAAATTTTGAACTTTTTTGGACTGAGGGCATTTCATGTTTCTGCTGTCCCGGATCATCTGGAGGCTGCAGGGAGACATCTAAGCTTAAATGGGAAGAACGACACAATTATGATTTTTCTCACACAAAAGACCCTGAGATACATTGCAGTGTTTCAATCCTACTTTTACCTGGTTTTTCAACCTTGGCAACCTTGGCATGCTGGCTGGGGAATTCTGGGAGTTGAAGTCCATACAACTTAAATTGACAGTTGAAAAACACTGTTTTGCACTAAAGGGATGTCATTTAGCTCTGCTACACCCAAGTGTACATAAAGCATAGTTGTTATATGATGTCCAGTTAAGTCCATGTAGTTCCTTAGCTTCTTTAGAAAGAGTCCATACTAAATTTCTTAGAAACATTTTCCAAACTTCTTGCTGTGTCTCAAATGCAGTTCTTCCACTGTAGGCCAGCCTGAGTTAGATCAAGACCAATATTTGATTATATTTTTACACACTGGGCCAAAATATGATTTGTCTGTGTAGGGTCCTTACTGATAGTTTTGTTTCATGCTGGCCTAAAGCAATAGATTTTAAAAAATGGAACTCTTTGGGCTTTCCTTAACTCTCTGCACTTAGTCAAATGTGTGCAACAATGGATTTAATGGACTTAGGATGTTAATATTTAGTTAGGCCTGGATCTCTTCCAAGGATCTATTTCAGGTTAGCTCCTTCTTTAACCAAATTAGAATCTCTAAATGTAGAAGGGCATTTAAGTTCCCTGGTACAATTGAAAGTCTGTCCTAAGTGGTCTTAGGTGAATACAAGGGCATCTCTTTTAAATTAAAAGTTTGCCCATGCACCAAAGGGGTCTTTGAAGCCATGAAATATGTCTTCTTATATTCCCTATTTTTTGCTAGTACACATTCAGGTTGATAACCCCGCATCTCAGTAATTTTCCCAGTCATTGTGACTGGTTGTATTCACATTTTTGTTTTACTTTCAAATCCATGTAATTCTGTTAGGTTAAGTGTGGCTAAGTTTAGTTATGTCATATTTAAAAGCTGGCTGACTGATACATCCAGTTAATCAATCAATCAATCAATCAATCAATCAATCAATCTATCTATCTATCTATCTATCTATCTATCTATCTATCTATCTATCTATCTATCTATCTATCTATCTATCTATCTATCTATCTATCTATCTATCTATCTATCTATCTATTTTCCAAGTGCGGAACATCTTACATTAAAAAGAGAAAATATAATACTTAAAATTAGTGTAATAATCTAAACAAAGAAAACTTTGAGTGACTATATAAGGAATATAGAAACTGTATAAGAAATATAAGGCTAATGTGGAAAATTGGGAGAACTGTGGATTCTCTGGAAGGATCCAGATGGGCTGTGAAGGAGGAAAAAAATGGGTTACATTAGATTTTTCCAACTTGGCACCATCCAAATGTTACCGTGCTCATCATCCTCACCAACACCCATGTTGGCTGTCTGTGATGAGAATGTCAATCATCTGAAGGGGCCCAGTTGGACTGCCAGTAGATTGGTTCATTGCTGGTGTGAAGAACAACACTTGGCCTTCCCTAGCTTGATATCCTCCAGATGTGTTTGGATCAGTTTTAATACAACCCTCCCCAATTGGGGAGAATCACCTGCTCATCATTCATATTTTGATTTTTTTTAATTCCATCTCTTCCCTCTTGCCATTCCTTTCCCACCCAGCTGAATTCACCCACTTATGCTCCCTTCCCCTCTGACTACTTGGCACTGGGGCCCGAACCTGTTCCCCCCCAGCCTGAAAGCAACGCTACTCGCTCTGCCCGGCGGCCAGCAAGGCCCCACATGCTCAAGGTACCTCAAGGAAGGTGGTGGGGGTGGATGGAGACGAGGGTTGTCTGTTTATATATGCAGTCTTGCTTTAGGGGGCATGCTGGATGTGGAATTTATAGCGCTGGATTAAATTCACAACCGCATTCACATTTGGGTGGGTGGGGGTGACATGAATATGCAAGAATGGATGTGTTTCAGCTTACAAACAGACACTGAAAAACTTTTTTGTTCTTAGGGAAGTTGCCCTGATTGAGTGGGGTGAATAAGCTATGATAAAAGAAGCTATGCAGCTATGCTTCAAACTTCAAATTAACTTTGAACCCTTGTGCTGTCGTGGCTTGAGGCTTCTATGAAATGTTCTGTGAATAATACTGCACACACCTACAGCAGATATTCACTCATCCAAACTCGCTTTTGATTCTCGTGCTTTGGGCTACAGTCATAAAAAGTTTCTAGATGAAAACGGAGCTGTTGTCGGGTTTCAGGGGTTTCTAAGACGTTCAGCATTACATTGTGAGAGAAGAATCTTATTGATTTATGGAATTTTTTTACCGTGCCTTGCATCTTCGTGACTGGGCTCACAAATACCAGGATACGTTTGTGTAATATGGTATATTAAACCCGCATTAAGTGGTCCATAGATTAAAGTAAGGCAGGGAACTCAGTTGTGAAGCCATGAGCTGTAGAGGTGTTGGTAGTGGTAACATGGTCACTCAGATTGCAGGGAGCACAACTGTTCTGCCCCTTGGGGAAGATTTCAGGGGCATTTGGCCCTAAAGCACCCATTTTACCCCTTAAGCCCATAGCTGTTGGGAAATGGTGGGAGAATTGTTGGTGCTGCACATTCTTGGAATGCTCTTGAGGGACAAGATGGATCTCATGTGGTTTGTGGGTTGTGAATGACTCAAACCTATGTTTAAGACAAGGGTCCCCAAACTTGGCACCTTTAAGACTTGTGGGCGTCAATTCCTAGATTTCCCCAGCCGGCCATGCTTGGAGATCCCTAGTATGAGATCTCCTGCTTGATTGGCTGGGGAATTCTGGGAGTTGAAGTCCACAAATCTTAAAGGTCCAAGTCTGGGGATCCCTGGCTTAAGCCATAAACCACACTTAACAGATGCCAACGGTTGGATTTGGACAAAGAACCAAAGCGTCCTTATGGGACCGTGAAAGGAAGTGAGCAGGAGGAGAAAGGAAGAAAAAAGCCACAGGATTCAACATCCCTCTCAGTTTTTCTCTCTTCTTCCCATCTGCAGCTCCCGCTGCCCCCAGCCTCCCACTCGGACTGTTCCCCCGTCGTGGTTGGATTGCCATTCCCTTCGCCCAGAGGGACTCCCAAGCTGCCACCCCCCACAATCCTCAGCACGGTGCCTCACCAGATGTTCAGTGATGCAGGGGAGGGAAGTGGCGAAGACCCCCTGGATGGTGATGACGAGCTGGTCATCGACATCCCTGAGTGATAGTGGCAAAGCAGGCACGTCATTTGAAAGGACACAGGCCTCTTGGTTGTGTGTGAGGGAGATGGTGCCCCTCCATTTTATTTTGTTTTATTTCTTTGTTTACAGACTCAGGAGAAAACATGCAAAACAGTCAATAAAAGGGATTTTGTTTTTGTATTAAAAGCATCCAGTTGCGATTTCTACACTCTTATGTTCCTTTCCTTCCCTGAAATCCTTGGGCTACTAACAGTTTGGTGAGATGTTTCCTGACCCTGTTGTGTGACATGCCATCATTTACACACTGGTAAAGAAAAATCTGCTTGAAATAATTAACATCTGTTGACAAGGTAGAGCAAATCTCTCTTTTGCTGCAAAAGAAAAAAGATTCTAAAAAAAAAAAAGTGCTTCAAATCTACAGGTGGGTCCTCGACTTACAACCATTCGTTTAGTGACCGTTCAAAAGTTACAATGGCATTGAAAAAAAAATGACTTTACAATTGGTCCTTGCACTTAAAACGGTCACAATGCCCCCAGAGTCACGTGATCAGAATTTGAGCACTTGGCAACTGGCAGTTGTTTATGACAGTTAAAGTGTCCCAGAGTCACGTGACCACTATTTGTAACTTTCCTGGTTGGCTTCTGACAAGCAACAGGGAAGCCAGATTTGCTTAACAACTGTGTGATTCGCTTAATGACCGTGGTGATTTGCTTAATGCCTGCAGCAAGAAAGGTAAAATTAGGCACAAATTGCCTAACTACTTCACTTAGTGACAGATGTTCTGGGCCGAATTGTTGTAAGTTGCAGACTACACATAGTCCAGGCTGGAAGAGAGAGAGAGCAATAACTAGGAGTTTTTCTACTGCACATGTAAACATTTGACATCTATCACTGCTCCTCACCCAACTTAAGTGCAGTTTAATCTTCAAAATGTTTGCGACTGTTTTAACTGAGCTGAAAACATCCCTTCTTTTGTAACTGCATTTTTAGGTTATTTTACCAGATGGTTTCTCCAAAAGTTCTGCTCGCTGCAGTGCTTCATTGTTTTTGCTACAGATTTTTTTTTAGTGCTGGTGGGAATACAGTAAGAAAGAGTCCTATAGTAAAAACTGTAAGGATAAAAGAAAAATCCTTTATCAGTTTGAAAGAAGAGAATATTTTTCAGGCATGGGTGAATCAGCTTTAAGAGAAAAGAAAGAGCTCATTTTACTTGGCTGTGAAACAATTGTGTATAAACACAGATGGAAGACACTACCTCTCTTTCAGCGTTGATTCACCTCTTACAAAGCAAACAGGTTTGTCACTTGAGTACTGCTTGTCTCTTGGTGAACAGCTATGCTGTTCAGAGAGGAAGTGAGTGGTTTTAATTGAGGGGGTCCAAGATATTTTTGGTCCCTCTGGAAGAAAATTCAAATGGTAATTCTCCCCCACCCTCTCACTCACATAGTGATTAAAATAAGAATAAGCTAAATGGAAATTTCTGCATTTAACGTTAATTTCCGCTTGGTTGTCTGTTCAGGCTAAAAGGAAGGCAAAATCTACTCTGTACGTGTGTCAGGCACCTCCCACTTGCTAACTTTAACAAACCCCTTCCCCAATCCAGGTTAGGACTGGCCCAAGTCTGTTCTGTAAACATATGATGGCCAACCTAGCCATGTTTACATTCTAAACTAGGAACATCTAAAAAGGCACAATTACAAGCAATTCCAGAGAGAGAAAAGTGGCAGATATTGAGAAAACCATGTGGCTGCACAGAAAATGACATTGGAGGAGTTACTGAACATTTTAGGAACAAAGGGAGAATTATAGAAAAGCTCTAAGAAGAATGGTATATAGTCCAGAAATGTAAGTGAATCGTAGAAATCGCATTAGGAGAAGGAGAAGGAAATAGTGGGCTTGCCACTTGATTGGTTAAAAAATACCTGCCTAATCCCTGTTTGTCTGAAGCAAAGTTACAGAAAACTTTGCTTTAAGTAACACAAGTCCTATTCAAGATTGATACAGAGGATGAGAACATTTCTAGCTTAATTCTGTGGGCTGATGAATTGCCCATTAAGGTAGATTGACAGGTGTTCTCTGAACTGTTTTGAGAAACCACAGGGTGTAATTGTGGTGTCAGGACAGGAGATCCATAGAAAGAAAAGGGGGAAAAATAACCAGTTTGCTGGAACAATATCAGGAACACAGTAAAACATAATAAAAGAGGCTCTAGGCCTCCTGAGAAGCATGTCAAATTTGACTGATTCACACTCATCTTAATTATTTTTCCCAGTTTACTACTTTAATGGCACTTGGGAATTCTGTGATTGGTCCCCTATTGTGTTTAGATTGGCAAACGTGTTCAGCGTGTGTGAGCTCCCACTGTTTGGTGCATTCAGGGCTGGGAAACTTCAAAAATCTCCTGTAAAGCACAGACATGAGATATGATGCTGCCAATTCTAACCATGTTTATTAATGGCAATGATAAAGTGATAAAATCCTTAATAAACTTGCAAGTCTTATAGAACTGGAAAAGATAGTTAACTCTCCTGAATGATAGGATTAAAACTCAGTGGAAAAATGCCCTGAAACTACGAAAATGAAATTCAAAGAGACTAATGCAAATTATTTGCTATAAAACAAAAAAAGATTTATAGGAAGGAGATTCATGGTACAAATAAAAGTGAGAAGTATCTGTAATGGTGCACCAGTTAAGCCTGAGGTAGCACTTTAAAGGGGGTGCAAGAAAAGGCCATATGAATTTCAAATATGTTGGTAGACTTATATTTCCCCCCAAATTGCTGTCCTTTATTCTGCATTCATCCATGTGCTGTTCTAACGTTCTATCTTTACCCTCCTTTCAGACTTGACATTTTGGTTTCCCTCTCCCCAACTCTCAGCTTGCCCAGAATCTTTTCAGATTCGAATATCTTGTAAATTGAAGGAAAAAGCAGAGCACTGAACTTAAAGCAAATAAAGAGGACAATGTTCGTTTCTTTGACCCTCTTTTAGAAACAATAAGATGAACGGGGTGAAAGAGGATTGCTTTACACAGAAATCAAAAGGATGCATAGCATGAACCAATATGCATCTGAAGACAGCAACTTAATTAGAAGAACTGAGCCATATGGAAAATCAATGCAGATGCCTTTTTTTAATGGTGCAGAAATACTACAGTAATTGCTTCTGACATTTCTAAGTTAAGAGGAACAAGAGCCCATGTGGAAAATAAGAAAAAAAATAATATTGGGGACTTTTAAAATGAAATTACTTCATCCTTTTGACTGGTTTGTTGCTTTTGAAAGATTAAAAAAANGAATCCCCCACGCATGGCCTTCCATCTACAGTAAGTGCCTCCCTAGAGCATAGCATAAATGGTCCTCCATGACAAGTAGTTTTGAAACGTGCAAACGTCCTCGTGCAAAAGAGGGGCCTCTGGGTGCTGGGCCCCTCCAGTTGGTTTTTGGCAGGCAGGCAAAATAGAAGGGTGCAGTTCTGTGGGGATCACCGGGGCCTCAAGGGCCAAAGGTGGAGGATTCTGGGAGCTCGTTGGTGAGGGTGTGCCAATGTTCCAGGCGGCAGTCGGAGGTCTGGAGGCATGAGAGCCAGTGTTGCCGGCACTCCCCACTGGCCCCTAATCCCAGGGTCACCCCACCTGCAATGAGACAAGAAGTACTTGCAGTTTCCAAGCTGCTGGCTGTGGAGCTGACCTTTTCCTAGTCCTGTCATCAGGCAGGATCTCAGGGATACTGCAGTCCATCCCACCCCGTGCAATAAGATGTTTGTATACAATGGAGGAGGCTATGAAGTTTGGAAATCTCACCCTCAAATTCTCTTGAGAGATTCTGGATATTCTTTTTTTTTTATTTTGTGAGTCTGCAAATGCAGTCTCTAGTTAACTATTGGCTCTCCTGCTATTGGTAGGGAAACATCCAGTAGAAAAGAATATTTGTAGCTCAAGGTGGAGTTGTGGAGTTCTTGATGACCCAGGAGCTTGGTTATTTGCTTGCAGATGTGTCATTACCCAACTAAGTAACATCATCAGATGATGTTTTACCCAACTAGATAACATCAGGTGAAATCAGATGATGTTACCTAGTTGGATAATGAACTGTCTGCAAGCAAACAGCCAAGCTTAGAGCATCAAGAATCTCCACTGTAAGACATCCTTTCTGTGACATTCTCCTGTCTTACTACCAATGTAACTGTTATGACTTCCCCTTCAGCATCTTGAGAAGAATGCTGGGAATTTTCTGAATGGGCAAGAGATGCCTGGCTATCGTTGTAGACCAATAAAGGAGAATATTTGTAGCTCAGGGTTGAAATGAGGGGTCCTTGGTGCTCTCTGAACTTGGTTATTTTCTTGCAGACGTTTCATTGCCCAAACTAGGTAACATTATCAGTGCTACCCATCATCAACATCATCAGGCAACATTGCTGATATTGGCTACTTTGTGTAATGAAACTTCTGCAAGAAAACAACCAAGCTCAAGAGAGCACCAAGGACCCCTCATATCCTTGTAGAATTAAGCCCCAGGCTTTCAATCCAGATTAACACACCCAGCATCTCCTAGGACCTAGGCTATACAACCCTTCCCTGAAACTAGGTGATCTTCTTCCGTCTTCTCACCAATGAAGTCATTTGATTTCCCAATATCGTAATCCCAAACGGTGATTTCCAAGGATTTATGACCAAGATCTGACTGTTCAATCTCATAGAAAAAATCCTGCAATGGGGCAGATAAGTATTAAAAGTTAGGAATATACAGGATCACACACACCCCTCACTCCCCCAATCATGTAATGCCTTCCTTGGCTCGCCTTCATTTACCTCATTGTACTCCGGGTTTAGTGTTTTCTTTTTCACAGTTGTTTTATGCTTCGATTTTTTCTCTTCATCTGGCTTCAGGTAGCTGCCAGAAGAGAGAAGAAGAGGGAACGGGAGAACGGGAGATTAAGCCTGTACATAAAGACAGTTGTCCTCCTTCTCAGGAAAACAATCAGCCTGTGCAAGCGCTAAAGCACCACCATAAAAACTCAGCAAGAAGTCATAAATCCAAAGCACTGAGAGAAAATGTGAAATGACTACAGCAAATGGGACATCTTCCGAACATTAATTCCAGGGTTATTCCAGGAATTATTAATTCCAGGAGAGTCTCTAAAAGCTTTGCTAAATGGGAACATTATACATGGTCTCTTGATCGACTGGAGGCTAAAGAAAAGAGCCTCTCTTGAGCCTAAGGCTTTCACGTCCCTAGTAGACACGGGAGGGACTAAATTACATCTTTTCCTTCCCTCCCCAAAACTCTAGACTTCTCCCCACTCCCCCAACCATCCTTAAGTATGGTTGATCTTAACCAAGGATTAGAACCCCTCTCTTCCCTTTGTATGTGCACATTTCTCACGTTTTTACATAAGGGTCCGAGTAGCCGCATACATCCATAGCAGCTAAGTGGGCGCAGCGGAGAATAGACACCAGTAATCCATGACGTTCGGAGATGTATGTGAGGGCGAGCAGGATGCGACCCCTTTCTTCCAGGGCCCAGCCAGCTGGGGGTTCCAACTATGCAGTGGGGGAAAGGAAAGGCTATTGAATGCTTTTGTGTCAAATGCCCACCCTCCGGCCTTCCCAAACAAACTTTTGCAACTGGGTTCATGCATCCTTTTTTTTTTTTTGAACCATGCCTTGCTGAATAAGCCACAATGGCCTAGCTTTGCATAAAGTGCTAGGTCATGATCAATCCATGGCTTATAAAGCACCACAACTGAGTACACAAACCAAGTAAAGCATTGTATGGATTACTGCAGGGGTCCCGCAGACACCATGACCTCCAAGGCGAGCAGAATGGTAAAACATAAACTCTATCCATAATTACATTTAATTTGTTATGTTTCTTTTCATTTTGAAAATAATAATTTTGGCAGTGTCTACTGCTTGAAAAATTTGATGACCCTGGGCTTAGCTGGTTGTGTGAACTAGGCCTCAGTTAGGCCTTGGACATTTTGAGACCCAGGTGAAACGTTTAGAAGGCCTTGCATTCAGCCTTGGGCTTTTGAATTCCTTGAGCCCAGGGCAGCCTTCCCCATCTTAGCATCTTCCAGCTGCTCTGAACCACATGCCAGGATGATGTATGGTTAAGGTCTTGGACTAAGAGCAGGGAGACCCAGATTCCACCACAGCTATAGAAGCTCAGTGGGTGACCCCAAGGTCACCCACTGGTGACCTTGGAGGGGAGGAGGGAACTGGACAAGGGCATTCTGCATTCACCCCTTGAACTCCTGAATGAAAATAGGTGGGAGGTACATCTAAGGAATATTCCAGCCAGCAGTGTCAACAGTGATGCTAGCTGGGAACTGTAGTTCCCCCACAGCTGGAAGGCATCAGATTTGGAAAACTGGACCTGGGATGTTATCTCAACTGTGGGCTTCCTTTTGCCAATTCCTGCTACAAAGACAGTCTCTTCCTACCCTCTCGCTAGCCTATTGCCTTGTCAGGGACAGCCACCTCCAGCCCTCAACCTAACTTCATGTTGGGGGAGGGCCTGCTAGGGAAGGGGGTGGAGAGGGGAAATTGGGGGAGGGCCAGTCACATTGGGTACTTGGGTGATTGGAGAGCCTAGGAGGAACTCTTGAGCAAATGACAAGCTCAGGTGGCTTGCATGGATGAGCTGTTGCTTTGCAAGTTGGCAAGGGAAGGGGAAGGGGAAGGGGAAGAAATAGAGGGGGTGGCTCTGTTTGGGGTCTGGTCCAGCCCTGCTACTCAGCAGGTAGGTTCCTGCAATGGGGCAACAGCCCTTGGCAGGGAGGAGGTGGTCCATCCACGACCTAACCTTCTGCTGAGGAATTTCAGGTGCCGTCTTTGGGGCGGGAGTAGGATGGGAGAAAAACTCTCACCTCTCTCAGATAGCAGGAGATTCCACGCAGGGCGGCAGTCATGGAAGAAGGGGATGCCAGCTGTTGTGATAGGAGAGAATTTAGCGAACTTTTAAACAAGGGCCCCAGCAAAGTCAAGGAGTGTAAAGGCCCCATGGAGGAGTGAGGGAGAAGAGGACAAATTGGTGAACAAATCTAATATAGGCCCATTAGAACCAATGTATGTTTTGTATAAGTGGCTCTTGGTGGTGCTGGAAAAATTAACCTTTATTAATTTGCCTCTAATCTGAATTCTATGAGTGGCACTGAGTCTATGATGCAGATTTCCCTGCTCTGATATGGAATGATGTTTTGCAGGACAACACATCTGGCTGTGATAGGGAACTGCACGTGTTCTTGGGTTACTTGCCAATTTTTCCTTAGCCATTGGCAAGGGCTGAGGAGATTTGTCCCCCAAAGAGAAAGATCCCAATTTATCATCTCTCTCACCCAACAGTTTTTGACTTTGGGGACCAGGCACAGCTCTTCATTTATGGAATAAATTGGCTCATAGATTGCTGTGTGTAAGCTTCTTCTTGTCTTTGCGTTGTTGTACTAGGAATATTCGGTCATTCCAAAGGATGAAAAGGTAGAAATAGTTGTGAAATACAGGTAAAAATAGGAGATTTGGGTTTGGGGATGGGTGGGTAGGGGGCAGGGGGAAATCTCACAAAGTTTTAGAGAAAGGCAGGACTCTTTAAGAGGGAGGATTAGCAGACAGCCAAAGTGACCAGCAAAGAAGTAACTAAAGTTGTCTCTGAATGTCTAAGTCTTACTATGAATCAAATGCAGATAATCAACGAGTCATCGCAGGTTATACAACCTTCTTTGACTTAGCTCTCACCGGTTGTTGCTGTTCTAAGCACAGGTTGAAGTGTCTCTTTTGGCCAGGGCGCAGGCGTCTCAGTGGCACCCGAGTCTCTCCGATGAATTCATTGTGGGTCAGTTTATCCTCATCACAGACAGTGATTCTGGGAGGCAGAAACAGAAAGGAAGAATGGAGAATTGTGTTGAGGGAAGAGAGTGCAGGAGGGCAATGGGGCTGTGGCATGAGTTCTGAAGCAAAGGGCGGGTTTTATCTCACCGCAGCGTTTTCCGAGCCATGTCCTCTGCGGTTATCCCATTGTAGATGAGAACCTCGTTCCACAGAGGATTGAGAGTGTTGTGCTGAGTGCGTGTCTTCAGTTTGTTGGCCTGAACAGAAAAAGGATTTGAAAGGGAAGAACAGAACAGTAGAGAAGTGCTACACAATAATAATTGAGCCCCAAATTTCTGTTGCTAAGTGAGACAGTTGTTAAGTGAAGTTTGTTGCAGTTTATGACCTTTCTTGTCACAGTTGTTAAGTGAATCACTGCATTTGTTAAGTTAGTAACATGGTTGTTAAGTGAATCTGGTTACCCTATTGAATTTCCTTGTCAGAAGATCGCAAAAGGGGATCACATGACCCCAGGACACTGCAACCGTCATAAATATGAATCAGTTGCCAAGCATCTGAATTTTAATCACACAACTATGGGGATGCTGCAACAGTCATAAGTGTGAAAAACTTTTTTCAGTGCCATTGTATCATTGAATGGTCACTAAATGAGTGATTGTAAGTTGAGGACTACCTGTACAGCAAAGCCTGCAGCTGAATCTGTTCCCTGCTCTGAGGACTGGGAAACAGCGTCATAGGATATAAATCGATTTGTAATGCTTTTTCTTCTTTATCCTGCTAAACCGCTAAGATACAGATAGTCCTCGACTTACAACTGTAATGGAGCCGGCCCATCGCAGCCGTTAAGTCGTGACAGTTGAAAAATATGACTGACCCAATTTTATTAACTTTTTTGTGGTGGTCACATAAGTGAATGTGGCAGTCATAAAATGGCTGCTATAGTTAAGCAAACACTGCAGTTTTTAAGCAAACCAATAGTTCACTATGGGCACAGTTTTGCCAAAAACAGAAGTAAGTGCTGTTTTTTAGCAAAACCATCACAAAATGCAGTCACATGATCATATGATGCTGCAAACGGCTGTAAGTGCAGCTGTGTTGCTGAACTCCCTCATGTTATGTCATCCGTTCGGAAATATTTCCTTACCAGATTCCTTACCAGATTGTTGACTGGCAGAGCTCCTAATGTATTAGAAAAGTTACTAAAAATTCAGGGAGAAATTCAGAAATATATCTGCCTTGAAAGTAGCTCATGTTAAGGAGGGTACTTTTTTCCCCATGTGGTAAACATGTGACAAGGCAAAGAAATATTAGGTACAGATACATGGTTTAATTTATTTATTTATTTATTTTATTTATTGAATTTATATACCGCCCTATCTCCCTTACGGGACTCAGGGCGGTGAACAGGCGATAATAAAAACCATGATAAATATAGGCAGTTCTAAAATCAAATTAAATAACGGGCCTGTTCTAAAAACACACCCATACAAAAACCCCCACTAAAACATAATCAAACTACGCCAGGCCGGCCGCACGGAATAGATGG